ATCTGCGCATGACACCTGTAGATTTAGAACACCCTAAAAAACATCTTAGTTAAGAACACTTTTTAGTTCTGCTTAACATAAAATCATTATATTTAATCAAAAATATTCTAAGAACACACACTAAGATTAAGCCTTGTACATGCTCTCCACTAGATTTTCATAGTTCACAGTGACTAGTTAAAGAGTAATCAGAGCTTATTATTTACGTTTTTTTTTTTGGTTCAACTAGCCGATTACATATTTTAAAACGTTGAATCGAAAGAAAAAAAGCCTAAGACTAGTTATTTATGTATACCCAAGACTGAGATGGCCCAAGTTGTTAATGAGTTTTCGGCCTCTTAAACGGCCTAATACTGGTGATCTTACCAGATAGATATTAGGTACTAGTGTTCAAGCCCGTGGCGCACGGGCTATGCTTAATCTATTTTTTTTTTTTGTTAACACTACTTAAATTATAAATACAAATGCTAAATCGATTTAATTACAGTACTAATTATACAGTTTTCCCGATGGATTTGCCCATCGGGAAAGATCATTGTTGTTGTCTGATAACTTCGCAGCACTCAAGCACTCTTCCACCTTCTGCTCATCTAAATACATAGGATTGCAAGCATCAATCAGTTTATTAGAAAGCAAGAGTGTCAAAGTCAGCAAAAATTACTTCTTTGTGAAACGATGTTCAGAGCTTTTTTATTTTTATGCATTTTCACCCGAGATCTTATAAGTTAAAGTCTCTTCTTATTATACACTTGATGAACAAGAAAAACGATCAAATTTAGAGGAAACCCTAAAAGTAGGATATTTTTTCTCATTGAAAAAAGTGTTAAGGCTTTGTGTTTGAGAGAATTCGTGAAAAGAGAGAAAAAGCTCGAGAGAATTCGTGAAAGGCTCGAGCGAGGGTGACTGCGATCGTGTTTGTGTGACGGYRAACGTGTCTGGRCGTATCGGCGATCGTGTCTACGTGACGGATCATCGAGACAAGAGGTGTCAGAACTAAGACGGGACAAGCAATCATCGAACCTAAGTGACTAAGGTGAGTGCGTGACCGTGGGCCTAAGTCTAGGTCGTTTTTGTGCATAGATTCATCGAGTCTTGTTCGTTTGGGTGATT